CGTAAACCCAGAGTGACTCTCCTGACTTCACTGGAGCGACTCCGGATTGGTGCTAGCCTAGCTGAGCCCAGAATCTGGTCCGCAAACACGGCCTGCCCCTTTTCACGCTCCCACGCATGCAATCTCGCATTCGGTCATGCGGACCATCACCTTCCTCTCTGGATGTCTCCTTGCAATCAGCAGGCACTGCACACATCACCATGCAAACCCTTGTAGGCCCATGTACACTTCAGGAGCACGCAGGCGGGCTCCATGTGCACACGCACCCATCAATGTCTAGCTCCCACGCCACCGAGGCTGTTGAATAATGTTTGGTTCTTGGATGTTACCCAGCTTTCTGTATGGCTGGCTGGCTGGGTACAAGCCTATCAGGCAGTAATAGAGCTAGGGGAAGCAGAATGTCCCCAAGATAAAATTTACAAGGCCTGAGTGAGCCTGCCTGGCGGTGTCAAGTGCTTTGGTAATGAGCACCTGAGCAGACGAGATTGCTTGGGTAGTTTCATTCTGCATAGATGAGCAGACAGAATTTCAAAAAGAAGTCATAAATATAAGCGTGCCCAATACCCAGCAGTGTTTCATTTCAGCATGGATGCTGGCCCTGATGGGGATGGGGAGGGTCAGAAAACCTGGAGGAAGGAAAGGTTTCCAGCTGAGAAATGCTTCCAGTTAGAAGCCTTAAGCTCCCTCCTCCCTAACCCTAAAGACATTCTTTAGCAAAGTTTCAGTGGGTTTTTAATCCATTGACAATTCTCTTTTCTTGTTTCTCTGTGTATGTTGTGTGTGTTCTCAATAAAGATTTCAATACAGTGCTAATAGCTCTTCCAGTGTATATGTATTGTGAATGTCGATAGGATAGTGTGTGCGAATGCTGGTTGGGATACAGTTCTAATGTGTGGGTACAGTATGTCTAATGGCACTATGTTTAAAATACAGTTCTATTACCTAGGTGTGTGGGTGTGCAGTTCTAATATTACTAGGTTTACAATGCATTTCTAATACCAGTGGGTAGCTAAATATGGAGCAGATTACATGTGATACCATTTGTGTATCTGTCGTGCAGTTTATGGCTCGAGTTTGAATGTCTGAAGATGTATGTGTTAACATGTGCACTAAGGTGTAGCTGAGGTCACTGGGAACTGTGGTACAGTACCCATGTCTGGGTGTATGGTAGGGTAAGGTGTTTCACCTGTGTGTACATCTCATGTGTGTGATCAATTCTAATACCAGTGTGCTGGGAGGGAGGCGTTTGCATATATTGTACATGTTTGTCTTGTGGAAACTAGAACACAAATCTAATGTCTGAGTGTACAAAGTTTGTGTGTTGTGAAGTGCTTGAAGTGATGTGGAGGATGGTGATACAACTTGTGCATGTGAGTGTGAGCTGCCCTATGAGGATGGGTTTACATCTGTTGGCTGGTGTGTGTGTGCTCAGCCAGGTGGCAAAAGGAATGTCTGTTTGAGGATGGGTTTGCAGGTATGTGCCTACTTGTGCTGGCAGAGATGGTGCTGAGGAAGACTGTGCTTGGCTGAACGCCTGTGTGCAGCACTGAATGATAGCTCACGGCTGTTTCTTGGGCTCTGCTGTGTGACTGAATACTGTCCCTCGCATCAGCGTGGGCTCAGCTCGCATTACTGAAAGTTAGAAAAAATGACTTTTCTTCTCATTTACAGCACACTCTTCACTTTCAACAGAAGCCCTACCCCCGACTGCCGCCCTCTTTGCAGAAACTTCCATCACTGGCAGACAGGCTCAAAGCTGGTGGGGTGTAATTTTTTTTTCTTTATTCAGGAGCCTCATTAAATCCCCATTCACTGGAGCCTCCGCAAGCCAAGGGTTGGTCTGGTTTTGCCTGCACAACTTCTTAATCCCTGTGGGTAACACACTGGAAAAAGATCAATACCTCCCGTATGGACCACCTGCTTGGAGATGGTGACTCAGGTCTGTTCCCTGTTTTCTCTGCTGCTCTCTGGATTTTGCTGATTGACACCTCTGTGTGATCGGTTAGGGGTGGGGTGTCTTTGTGTGGAAAGCGTCAGAGGCCCTGGTAGGCTCAGGGAGTCTCTGACTGGACATAAGATGGAGCTTTACACTTCAGTCTGGCGCAGGCTGGAACTGCTTAAACGTTATCACCATCCAATGGCCGTGTGATAGCCTGTGTGAAGCAATCTCTGCTCTGCAGGTGTCCACACCACTATAACTGGGAGCATTATTGGCAGTCCCAGCAGACAGGCCAGGAACTGAATGGGGAGAGAAGGTTGAATGGCCATCTCCCATTGGTGTAGGTAATCCACCTCCCAAACAAGCGATAGCTAGGTTGATGGGAGAAAGCCCCAGTTGCCCCAGCACTGTCTACACTGGGGCTTAGGTCAGTTTAACTGCACTGCTCTGGGGAGTGGATTTTTCACACGCCTGAGCTACATAGTTATATGAACCTAATTTTGTAGTGTAGACCAGGTCTAAGTGATACTGGCACATGCCATTGCTCCTGGTTGTGCTGTAGATAAATGCATGACTCCAGTTTCTGGTGCTCTCCCTACAGCACCACCTGTCAACTACCTCCCCTCCAACACTGAAAAATGTCTGTTATAAACATGACTCATTAGATTCCAGAAACCCAAGGTGAGTGACTGTTGCTCCAGTTATAGGAGAAGCTCTGCAGGCTGGTTAGCTGTGCTAGTGAGGGACAAGAGCATAAGGAGGACTCTCCATCACTTGAGCTAATAACCACAGTCTCCCACCTCTCTTCGCTAAATGTTTTGTTTGGCCTTTGTCAATGGGTAATCCTCACATGACAGTCTTATAGAAAAAAGTGTTCTAGATAACTCCTATATGGAGCATTTTCAGAGGCAGGGGTACTTGGCTTGTGGCTTAAAAAAACAATTCTAATAATTCTAGAGTGATGGATCCCAATGCTACTCTACTGCAGTGCTAAGGCATGACTGCAGAATTCTGTCATAGGTTTGTTCTAAGGTTGTTTTATTAAATCCCAAATTGGATATGGATAGGTCAGCATGATGCTGGAGAGATTCACTTGCACCAACAATAACTAGATTTCCATGCCCACTAACTGCTCACTGCTCTAGAAATCTCTGTCCTTAAAGTTCTGTTCTCTCTGCCATCCTCTGAGATAGAGGGAATCTGACTGGCAGCAGTGAGGTACAGGGAAAGGGCACTCATCATACCAGAGCTGCAGAGTGCAACTGGGGCTCCTAATCCAGCAGCGGGTGCTCCCAATTGCTTCTTCTGCCATCCACACCCTTTGGGAGAGAAGAGGTTGCAACAGAATTAGAGGCTGTGTAAATAAGAACTGCCCTATAGGACAGGTGGGTGGTCCCTCCACTCTGCCAGTGGCTTGCCTGCCACCAGTGGCCAATAATAGAAACACTTTCTGTGCAACATTAACAAGCAAATCCTCACAATATTCAGCAGAAGAGTCTTGTGGCTAAAGCCCAGCAGATCTGGGTTCCAGCCTGTGTCAGAGCTAGGAATTTTGGTGTGAGCTTGGGCCAGTCACATAACCTCTCTGTGCCTCAGTCTCCACATCTATAAAATGGGGGTAATATTATTGCCTTCCCTGGGGATGTGGTATGGAGGCTCTTGTGTTCCAATGATAGCTGTCAGAAGTTTTAACTTATCATAGGCCCCCTCAGGCTGAACAGGGCAAAGGGTGGGGACCAGATGAAAAGCAGTCTTTTGGCCCTCCAGGTTGGGGTTGAGCAATAAGCCAATAACCTATCCTCCTTTTAAAAAAAGAAAGAAAAAAATGAAGTTCTGGAAACCATGCTGGCCCTTCTTTGTGCCTCAAAGCCACGTCTGATGGGTCAGGAAAGATGCTCAATATTATTGAGCTGCCTTGTGGGCAGGGATGGTGTCCCTAGCCTCTGATTGCCAGAGGCTGGGAATGGGTGACGGGCTGGATCACTTGATGATGACCTGTTCTGTTCATTCCCTGTGGGGCACCTGGCATTGGCCACTGTTGGAAGACAGGACACTGGGCTAGATGGACCTTTGGTCTGACCCAGTATGGCCCTGTTTTTATGTGGTGTTTGTGAAGTTTCCTTCATCAGTGTGGAAATGGTGAGCCTCAAAGGAAAGGCAGAAGTAGAAAGCTCCCCCTCACTTACAGGGGAGGTAGTCGAGCCAGAGGCTAAGCAGTGCTTCATTTGTAATGAAAGAGGTGCCAGGGCTCAAGCAATTTTTTTTTTTTTTGCATTCATAACTGGTGGAGCAAGCCCAGAGGGGCCAGGGCTATGAACAGCCGTGGAGCAAGCGTAGAGGTACCAGGGCTCAGTCCTGGCACAAATTAAGCACTAAGTGACTGGTGCAAAGTGCAAGTGGGGGAGCCAGGAGCAGAACTGAGGGTCTGGTAATGTACAGCACCTCTTCAGGTGGCCACAGCCAGCTGCTTCGTGAGGAAGGCCTGAAACACTCTGCAGGGCAGCTACTGGTGCGATGCTGTGACTGCCAGTGCTGGAGCAGAGGAAGGCTTCCCCCCTCTCAGCCTGATGCATGCAGGCAGGCAACACGAGCAGTGTAGCCCAGCTGCCCTGCACAGGAGGGTGGGCCAGGCAGGCCGGGTAAGGAGCAGACCAGGAAGCGCAGGCTAGGTTCGGGAACGCACCAGGCAAAGCACCCTCCCCTCGAAGCCTCAACTCGCGACTGCCCAGCGCCAGCCTCTGCCGGCGGAATATATAGCTCGGCCGAACCAACGCTGCCGTCCGTGCAGGGGGAGAGGAAAGCCAAGCCGGAGCACAGGACGCCGCGGGCGCGGCGCAGCGCTGGCTGAGCCCCGGCACGGCTGTCACCCCGCGGGCAGAGCGGGGCTGCCAGCGGATGGGGCGCGCGGGGGCCTGACTGCAGCCTCCCCCCCGACGGCGCGGCGAGCGATGGTAGGAGCCGAGACCAAAACAAAGCGGGGCGGCAATAAAAGGCAGCGGCGGCTGCTCGCTGGGCTGGGTGCGGGGGAGACGCTCCTCGCTGGTGGGGCTGCGGGGTCCGTGCGGCGGGCGGGCCGGTGCGCTCCGAGGGCTGCGGGGTCCGTGCGGCGGCCGGGCAGCCGGTGCGCTCCCGGTGCCTTGGGTCAGGGCCGGAGGAGCCGGTGCGCTCCGGGTGGCCCCAGTCCGTCCCGGGAGCGAAGGGGGCCGGGCTGTGCCAGGCGGGAGCGGTGCCCTGCGAGGCGGTGGGGAGCAAGCGCGCTCCGGTCCTGCGGCAGGAAGGGGCGCCCCGGTCCTTGGGCACCGCAGCGCTCCCCGGGGGGATCCAGCAGCCCGCTGGCCGGGCGCCCGCTGGGGAGAGCGCCTCGCCCCCTGCCCACCGCTGTGTTCCTGCCATCGGCCCCCCGCACGGCTGCTCCCACCGGCTGGGCTGAGGTAAGCGCTGCCCCCACGCCGCGCAGGGGGGGATGCCAGTCCGGGGGTGCTGGGGAGAAGGCTGCGGCTGCGGGGAGGGAGAAGAGGGAGGCGGCAGAGGCTGCGGTAGCAGCAGGGGGTGTCCCGGCTGACCGGGCGAACCCAGGAGCTCGGCACCCAGCTGCTTACGATCGGGGACAGGATCCCTCCTGTCCCAGCTCCAAGCCGCAGCCGGCCCTTTAGGCCCCTCTGGGACAGGTCACTTGCCTCCAGCCCTTCACCTCCTCCCAGCTGGTTCTGCCTGTGCCCCGTGGGGCAGGGCAGAGGGCAGGCAGGGGCTTGCGATGGCTACAGCGGATCAGTCCCTGGGGGGTGCGTGCGGCGCGCTCTCCAGGCGGGCTTTGGAGAGGTCCCGAACGGGCACCACGGAGAGTTCCCCCGGGCGCTGACTCTCTGTCATGCACCGATTGCGCTAGCGGCTGCGGCGGGATCCTTCTGTTCGCCCCAGGCGGAGCGTCAGGAGGGAGCCGCGCTGTGTCCCAGGCTGTGCGGGAGGCTTGGCGCCGGTCCTGAGTCCCAGCGGGTGGAGAGGGTCCGGGGAGCGCACAGAGTGCGTGCTGTGTGTGTGTGTGTGAAGACGGAGGTCTGATCCAGATTGGCAATTCCTGAGGTGCAGCTAGGACAGGGTCCTGTCTTGGACAGTGGCCCTCACCAATGTGTCCGAGGATGGCGTAAGAACCACACAGCAGCAGTTGTGGGTCAATCTGCTTCCCTCATTAGGTCTTACCCTAACAGAGATCTGGACATGGGTACGCTGCAATGTAAGTCCAGGGTTTGAACTCCGGCTAAATCCTCCCCGCACCACCTTCCCTCAACACACACATCCTGCTAACCTAGGCTTGAACCCAAGACCCCATGAAAGTGGAGGGTCTGAGCCTGAGGCAAGCTGGGACCCAGGGTTCAAGCCCTATTGCTTTGCAATGAAGAGGCAACCTCCGTGGACTCATACTTTGGGCAGGCTCCCAGAGTGGCCTGGGACTGACTTCCTTTGTCCTCTGGACAGTCCGGTTTGGTGGACAGTGAAGTTTTCCCACAGGGCACCGTGAACAAAGGGCTAGAGTGGCCACATTGTGGGAAGTCTGGGATGTGGGTGGTTGGACCCCGGCCTGCATAATGCAGTGCAGATGCCGGAGCCCCAGGCTGGGGCCCAGGGTTCGACAGCTCCAAGCAGAGTTACAAATGAGGGTAGACCCCCAAACCCTAGGTTAACAAACCCAGGGGCTGTTACCTTGAGTTCTACTAACCCTGGGCTTACATTGCAGTGACTTCATCAGGATAGTAATGTGCGCACCAAACTAGACCAGTTTCTGAGGATCATTGTGTATTGTTGGCTGTTTTGTTTGTATTGCTGCAGCTCCGGGGAGCCTGGGTAGGGACCAGAGCCACATATGCTAGTTGCTGCAGAAACACAGAACAGAGAAAAAAGAACAGGAGGACTTGTGGCACCTTAGAGACGAACAAATGTATCTGAGCGTGAGCTTTCGTGAGCTACAGCTCACTTCGTCGGATGCATTCAGCAGAGAGAGCTCCTGCCCCCAAGGGTTTTACTGCTTGTTCTGGTTTATTATTAAAGTGCAAGGGGCTGGGCTGTAGGGATCAGACTTTCCAAAGTGCTGAGCATCCACCAAAACAAAGGGAGCTACTCTGAGCTGGGCTCTTTTGAAAATCTGCCTCTAGGGTGGCTAGGAAAGACCCTTTTGGTGAAGGGGGGCAGATGGGAATAAGAGAAAATCAGCCCTCCATTGGGACAGGTGCAGGATGCTACACATGTCCTGCACGGAGCCCAGGCTCGGTCCTGTTCCATTTGTTTCCCACGCAAAGCGACCCTTGTACTCTCCGGGCAGTAGCATGCCAATTATGTTGCTTCTACGTCTGCAATTACTGGGGTAGCATTTTGACAGCTGAATGAAGTCCGTTAGGGTTTAATGTAATATATCGGCAAATCAGAGCCTTTTAAAACCAGGCTGGTGCATGCCCGGTTTTGCCTCTGGAGGATGCAGGATCAATGCAATAGGGTGAGTAGGTGTGTGTTAGGGGGATGAGTCTGTCAATTTGCTGCTGTTGTGCTTGAATCTGAATATGCTGCAGATGACGGAATAAACACACACACATGTAATTCACCACCCTACCAAACTCAATTAAAGAAAAAGAAAAAGTCTAGCCAAAATTGGGAATAGATCTTGGACCTGGATTCTGTTCTTTCTTATGAAACCAAACTTTATTCAGGGCCACTCCATCCCACCCACCCCGTCAAGTACTGATAAAGATATCCACAGCAACAGCGCCTCTCTCTCTCTGATTGCTCTTTTAGGCTGTGTCTGGATGGAAATCGAGCAACACAGTAGCTGTATTGTGGGGAAACGTTTCAATAGCTGGATTTCTTTTATCATACTCAGAACATCTTCAGAGGTTAGAATCATCAAGCCAGCCTCTCTAGCACCTTGCAGAGGCTTGTAAGTTGATAGGCTCAGAGCCTGGAATAATAGAGACGTGGGCTGGTGAGAGAGACAACAGATGGAACAAGTCTCTTCAATATGGTAAAAGATCTGCTCCCCATCACTCTCCCTGCGAAGACTGCTGTTCCTATGTGGGGAACACTTCACTGGGGAGGGGCAATTCATATCTGATAGAAAAATCGTTCAAGGGGAAACTAGTCATCAGTATTTTTGACTGTTTCCCCTAGATACACACTGGGAAAAGCTAAGGGTCCAATGGCCCAAAGCAATGTATAAGGGCGCAATATGCGCGATCCTGACTGGGGCCTGGAAAATAGTATCCGTATTGTTCCAGTCATCCACTGCGATTAAAAAAAAGTGTTCTGTTTCTGCAGTATATTGGGCCAAATTCATCCCAGGTGTAACAAACCTAAAGTCCCTCATTACACGATAGCTAGATTTAGCTCTCTGGGCTGGATTCTGCCATTCTTACCTACAGTGAGAGATACCTTACCCTGCGAATAGTCCCTTTGATCTGAGTGCCCAAAGGTACTACTCACAGTATGTAAGGGCAGGGGAACCTGGGCATGTATATTTAGTTTTTAGGAGTATTGCAGAATTAAATGATTGATTTAATGTGGACAAAGCCTCAACTTGGTTTGTCTAGAGCTGGTCACAGGTTTTGTTACCTGTTTTTAAAAATAATACTTCGCCCTTTAGCATCCATGGTTGATTCCATTCAAAGTTTCATGCTTTATGAACGTTAAGCCCCACAAACACCCCTGTGAGGCAGGTGAGAAGAGATGAGCGGTTAGGGGAGAACTTTGAACAGTTGGGTGTTTCTCATTCATCGACTGCAGATCAGGAGGGTGAGCATTTCGTTTCATACTTTGTATGATATGAGTATGTAGGGGTAGGCTGCGTGTGTGTGGTATTGTGAGAGATTATGCTGGGCTGTTAATTTGTTGGTGTGGATTGGGGCGGAGATTGTGGGTGTGTGTCGGTCAGTTCACCTCCTTCTCCCACCCCCTACTCCAAAATCATCTTATGATGCCAATGATCCAAGATAAAAAGCCCACTGCTTATACAAAAACTTGCCTGTTGTGTACAAGTGCTCAGCGAATAACCTTCCCTGAAAGCGAAGTGGGATTGGAGTTCTTGCCCTGGCTGCATATGGAATATCTGGATAAGCCGTGATTTTTATTTCTGAAGTTACAGCTGGTCATACCATGAGTCCCCACATCTCGGGGTGATATTGCTGTGATCTCTGTGCATGCCAACGCACAATAAGCCCTGGCATGGCTCTCTTAACAGGGAGCATTTAGCATAAAGTTGGTTTAATCCTCTAATCTTATCAAGCGAGGACATAAATTAGAACTCAACAGTTTAATTCATTTAAAAAAAATCAAACCCTGTTATGTTTGTCTGTAGAGCATATGATCTCTCCTTTCATTTGCTTTATAGGCTTATTTTATTATCCATTGTTTGTTTAAAAGCCTCTAACTATAGATACAGGATTGGTGGTGAAAGGTACCCAGTAATTAACTCTCCTCTTCTATAGGCTCATCTAGTATTCATGGAAGTTGTTTTCAGAGCTAAGGCCAGCAAAGTTCAAATGAGAGAGATCCGCCTGGCATCCCCCCATCTGTCGAGAATCTGGCACTGTTGCTGGTTTGGCAGATGAAGGAGACAGTGGGAGTTGAGGGTCTTGGGATCAGGCCCCTCAGTGAGGAGAATTCCCATTTACTTCTTGTCTCCTTTATTTCTATCAAGAGGAGCAGGCAGTGCCCTCATTTTTCCCCAGTGCTGAGAGAGAACGTAGTCATCACCAGGAGTATGCCTGTCTATATGTGTGGGCAGAGGCAAGGAAATTGTGTGTCCAGACCCTGTAATAAGGCTGAGCAATGAAACTTTAGATGCTGTGGTTTCCTTCCATCCCTGACACGGTACCCTAATACTCTCTCTTTAAAGGTTTGATTTTGTGCATAGATGCACAAGTTCATTCATCTCTGTGGAGTTGCACACCAGGGTGAATTCTGGTCACAGTTCTCATGACCATCTTTTCCGAGGGCTGAATTCTGCCTACCTTACTCACGTTGGGCAGCACCGTACTCCTGACTTCAGGACAGGGGCTACTCCAGGAGTAAGGAACTACACTGTGGATGTGACTCAGCATTCATTGAAGTGCCATTGCTTTCAAAGGACTGTGAATCAATCCCAGTGCAAGTCAGGGTGGCAGAATCTGGCCCTAAATTAATGACTGGAGAACATGAAGATGACTGTAGGTACTAAAAGCCCAATCCAGCTCCCAATGACTTCCGGGGGAGCTGGGCTGAGGTCTGCAGTGCTGATTCTGAATATACATAAGCATGTGCTTAACTATGAGCATGGAGTCATTGTATTGAAGGCAATGTGTTAAAGATCTAGATGTGGCTAGATACAGTAACCACCAGCTCCCAGGTCAGAAAGGTAAGATCATTGGTGATGATACGGTACATGGGGCGGTCATGAATACACCTCTGCAGC